TTAATTAATTAATAAATAAATAAAGTTTACTAAATCTGAGAAATGACTTAGCTAGTTTTGTAGTAAGTGCCATTAATATTACTTAAATAATATTTAAATTTAAAGAGAAGAAAAGATAAAAAAAAAAAAAAAAAAAAAAAAAAAAAAATTTACATATACTTTGATATGGAAAAATAATCTTACTTAATATGAGTAATTTTCCTTCTGTTATAAAGTAATATAGTCTATTAAAACTTAAACAATGAAAATATTTTAAAATTTTAAAGTTGTAATTTTGAATTTGTAATTAAAATTGTAGTTAAATTGAATGAATTTTAACCTAAATTTCTTTTAAATAATACTACACGCATTAAAAAGAATCCAAAAATAACACCTATAGTAAAATAAAATTAATATGAATACCATAACATATAAGCTTTTGAATGACCCATGTCCTCAGTACTTACATGTGAAATATTATAATAATAGGTTTATATATAAAAGAAAAGTTTACTGAATCAGTGAAATTAAGTAACCATTTCTGCTGTCATAGTCATATACAAAAAAAAAAAAAAAAAAAATGTAACCTCATATACATACTTAAACTTAATGTTAAAATAATCCTACATAATATAATGGATTCTAATACATTTAACTGTTATTAAAAAAGAATATAGTAAAATAAAAATTAAAAAGGAAAATATTTCAAATTGTAGTTAAATAAAAAGTATTGTATAAAAAAAAAAAAATCTTTAATTTTAAAAGATGACGTTGAAAATTTTTTTTTATTTTTTTTTTTTTTTTTTTTTTTTTTTTAAATTCAGACGACATCCATTCAACTGACGTCAGGTTTCAATGTAAAATACATCCTCACCCCTTACCAAAATGTAGCTAATAACTGATACAATGATACTGTCATAAGGGAAAATCTAGACACCCCGTGTTCAATTTGAGTAGAATATTCTGTAACCATGGAAACGTGATTTTAGCTGTATATTTAAAACCCGGTAAATTTTAAAAGTTACTCAAAATTCGCTTGAAGATGAAATAGAACTAATGCTTTTAATTTATTTGCAAAAATAAAATTAGGGTTTTAGCTTCTAACTTTTTGAAACATGGTTGAACTGTGTAGCGAAAATAACCATATTTTAAATCAATTAATTTATAATATTAATTTCTGTTTAAATTTACATTGAGCACTATTTTGTAAAAATAAAATATCTATAAGAACACCGGATTTTATATCTTACTGTTCTTTCTTTTTATTTATATATATATATATATATATATATATATATATATATATATATATATATATATATATATATGATCGAAATAAAAGTATAAAATTTTCTGTTTTAATATTGAATCTCCCGTGGAAGCCTGACGAGTTGGGAGTGAGGCGAAAACCGGTTGCTTCCCCCCCCTGTTGTTGAGTTTTTTTTTTTTTTTTTATTATTTAATATTGTTTTAATATGTCTTGTAATATTAAATTTTATACTTTTATTTCGATCATTAAATTTTGTACCTACAAAATATCTTTTAAATATATATATATATATATATATATATATATTTATTTATGTGTGTGTGTGTGTGCGTAGGCAAGTTTCGTTGAATAATTTAGATAAGTTTCTCTCTTGTTTTCATACCGACAGCAGAAAGCTCATCCGAGAATATGACTAGTTCTTGTTGATATATATATATATATATATATATATATATATATATATATCAAGAAGAAAAATAATCTTATCACATAATCGAAGGATTCTGTAATAAATTCATTTCGTTAGATAAGTTTTAATATTTGTCCCATCAGCCCGAAATTACAAAATGATTTAAATTTATCCAGCAGACAATATATTAAAAATTGTTTTGAAATTAAATCACCTGAGAACAGGAAGTAAATGTCTAAATTTCCTGGGGTTTTACATTATTGAAGAATGGCGGAATGAAAAAGTAGAGCCAAGGTGTCATCACAAGGAACAGTGGTAGGTGGCAGGGGGTGGGGAACAGAAGTGACAGTGAAATACATTGAAATGAAATCAAAATTTATATCGTCATATATATATACATATGGTATAAATCTATAAAAAATATTACACATCCATACAAACACAAGTAAACACATATATAGAAAGCATCCACAAACACACATATATACATACACACACACATATGTGTGTACGTAGGTTGGTGTGTCATTATCTTTTTTGTACGGTTCGTATGTGTTTTTGTTCAGGTTGAAAGTGGCTTCAAGCCAGTTTTAAGCTGAACACATACGACCCACGGTCAGAAAAACTCACATCAATCTAAATAATATGTTAGCTCTATCACTGATATTGAGGGCTTTCCAATAAGTACCGCGGATAAATAATATATACATAATACATATGAAAATTGCATATATATATATATATATATATATATATATATATATATATATATGCACATTTTATATTTAAAAGATCTACTTGGTTTACCCTTACCACTTACGGATATGATATACATATATATATATGTGTGTGTGTGTGTGTGTGTGTGTGTGTGTGATAAAGTGTAAAAATTCATTTGTGACGCGTTTCGTCAATCCGATGAATTCCCAAAGGACGAAACGCGTTACAAGTAAACTTTTTTTTTTTGTCATATATATATATATATATATATATATATATATATATATATATATATATATATATATATATGTGTGTGTGTGTGTGTGTGTGTGTGTGTGTGTGTGTGTGTATTAATGGTACAGTAATGTGTAGACATATATTATGTTGTATTTTTCCTTTTTTCTTTTTCAGTCTCTATTACTCTCTCCTCTTTTCACCCCCCCACACACATGTGTGTGTGCGCGCGGCATTGCTTTCTTTATACACTCCCTCAAGTTCCCTAGGCTTACACAAAACGCACACACACATTTTATTACTTAAACGTTATGTTTAGAGGATGCCAATATCCGAGTATACCGTTTATTTATTAAATGTTATATTCATTTATTTTAACCTTTTTTTAATTATTTTAAATCTTACTTTTGTTGTTGTTGTTGTTGTTGTTGTTGTTTTTTGGAAAAAGAACAAAAGTATTTGGGAAATGAAACTAAAAGAAATTTAAACAGCTATAGCACATTTCTCTCATCCTTTAACATCAATACACGAAAGGTTATTCGTAAGCATGAACGGATTTTACTAAAAATTAGCAGACATAATGTCTGTAACTTGTTCAATTAGACATACCTAAAATAGAATTTGTTGCATAAATAACTAATATATATATATATATATATATATATATATATATATATATATATATATATATATATGTGTGTGTGTGTGTGTGTGTGGCCTGGACGATTGCATCTAGTATGAAACAGATTGTCGCCTCTAAGTGTTGACTTCTATGTTCACTTTTTTTTTATATATATATATATATATATATATATATATATATATATATATATATATATATATTACTTTCTTCTTTCTATATTACCACATTGAGCATTGTTTTGTTAAAACCAAAATTAAATAAAATGTTTATTTACAATTTTTATCTGCGCGTGATCGCACGCATATACGATATATATATATATATATATATATATATATGTATATATATATATATGTGTGTGTGTGTGTGTGTGTGTGTGTGTGTGTGTGTGTGTGTGAATGTCTATGTATTTATGTTAAAATTTCCCCGTTATATTTTTTCAATTTTACTTAATATCGCCATAATTTTTGGGTCTAGTAATATTAGTGATATGTTTTGCATGCTTTCTCTTGTTTATTTTCTCAGGAATCTAAAAAAACATTTCTTTTAAAAAATACATTTTTTTCTGATTTCGTGCGTATATTTGCTTTCAACCTTTCAGGGGAGAAAAACAAATAGAAGTGAACACGCTCACGCACAGACATACATACACGGATACTGGCATATACACACATACATAAAACCAAGCACACGCATATATATATACAAGTTCACACGCATATATATATATATATATACACACAGAAAAGCACAGACGGAAGCGCGCGCGTACACACACAAACGCAAGATGTTTTTTTAAACATTTACAGAAAAGCTCTTGTGAATTACTTGGTTTAAGGGAGATAACTGTAATAAAACTTTTATCTTTTGTGATACGAGAACTTTCTTCTTTCTTGACATATCATTAATTTCTTTTCATTCATTTTTTCTTCTATATATTTATCTTTTTTTGAAAATCACAAATAATAATTCTAGTAAAATGACGTATTTATTTTCTTTCTTTTCTCTTCTCTTTTTCTTTCTCTTGCTTTTTTTTTATTGCACTATCGTTCATTTATTTTTCATTCATTTTTTTTTGTTGCTCTGTGGTCATATTCCTTCGAGATAAATTAAGGGTTTTCGAATTTAAACACAATTTTCTTTTTTTTTTTTCTTTTTCTTCTGTTTCAATGTTTCTTTCTTTTTTCTTGCTTGTTCACTTTCTTTAATTCTCACGTTTCTGTCTTTCTTTTTTCTTTTACTATCACTTTTTTCGCAGAATCATTTCCGTTGAGTCTTTAATGTTATTTTTATTTTTACTTCATTCTTTCTTTTTTCCTCTATTTCTATTTTCATTCTTTTCTTTCTTTTTTTTATTTCTATTTTCTTCTTTCTTTATTTAGTTCTTTCTTTCTTTTACTCTATTTCGTTCTCTGTTTTTACACTAACATTTCCTTTGGGTGTTTAATTTTCAAATGTTTTTCTTTTTTTCTTTGTTTCATTGTTTCTTTCTTTTTTGTTCATTTTTCATCTCTTTCTATTTTTTTTATTTTTTTCGTCCTTTCTTTCTTTTAATTCCTTTCGTTCTCTCTTTTCATACCAATATTTCCTTTAAGACTTTAATAATTTTAAAAAGAATTTCCTCTTTTTCTTTCTTTCTTTCTCTCTTTCTTTTATTTTCTTTCTTTATTTTTCCTCGCTTTTTACTTTAATTCTTTTTCTTTTACTTTTGTTCTTTTCACACCAATATTTACTTTGAGCCTTTA